TACTGTTCAAACATGGTACATACATGTTCATTTTTTTAACGTGAGCTGTATAATAACATACCGCGTACGCTAACATCCTGGTTCATGCTCTCATTGCGCATTACTTACGCGGTGCGCGAGTCGCGAAGTATGTAGGCCCCACGTAAGTTCGTCTTTGAATTTATGTCCCTTCGCCTGTTCATTCCCCCCGTTCCGCTAAACCTCGCGATCTTCACTCTCACTATGCATCTGCGTTTCAGAATTTCCAATTCGACTTCGATCTCGGGGTGTCGTCTGGATCCGGCATCGGAGGGGGCGGAGGTCGGTTGGGAACGGCAGGCGGCAGTCTCAAGGACCAGAAGCTCGGCGGCGGTTTGGTGAGTCGGTCAACTACGGAACAGATTAGTTGTCCGGTCGTTGGTAACCCGGTCGCTTTCGCACTGCTTGTTTTCTTCTGCTCGCTCGGAGGTCAATGGGGAGCGGCAGGCGGCAGTCTCAAGGACCAGAAGCTCGGCGGCTCGGTGAGTCAGGCAACTGCAGAGCAAATGAGTAACCGGGTTACTGGTAACCAGAACCACGACTAGCAGCAGGGGAGGCAGCAAGCGATTCTTGAGGCGTCTCAGAAGTCGTTGTCTCAAAGGGAGAGGTCAACAGCAGTATCCCGTCTGTCTTCTAGCGCCTCTCATGCTTCGCTCACCCCCGTTTCTCCTGCTCTCCGCCCCTTCCGCGCTCCTCCGCCCTCTTCCGCCCCCCTCCCGCCCCCCCTCCGCCCCCCACCGCACCCCTCCGCACCCTCCGCCCAATCTTTCCCCCTTCCGCTCAGGGTGGCGGAGGGCGACCAGGCGGGGGGGGCGGTTACGCGCAGGGCGCCACCTCGTGGTCCACAGGCGGAGGCGGAGGGGGAGCAGCGCGCGCGCCCCCCGCCTCCGCCAGCTCCTATGCGCCGAGCGCCCCAGGCGCGCAGGCGCAGAAGCAAGGGGGAAGCGGAGGAGGACCCAGCTGGATCCCTCTGGGGCAGTCCGGAATTGGCAGTGGGGGGAGGGGGGGAAGCGGGTATGGGGGGATGGGGATGGGGATGGGGATGGGGATGGGGATGGGGATGGGGATGGGAATGGGGGGAATGAATGCCAAGCCTCTTAACTCCTCGCTGTCGTCATCTGGTGCGTCAGCAGCAGCTGCAGCTGCCAGCAAGGCGGATGACGTGTTTGCCAGCCTGTGGAGCAGTGCCACTGCCTCCGCGCGACCCGGGGCGTCCACGTCATCGTCCACGTCAGCGTATGGAGGCGCCGCCAGGGACAGCGCGGGAGGGGCATCTGGGGGAGGTAGATTTGGGGGAAGTGGAGGGGGAGGGGGAGGGGGAGGATTTGATCCGTTTGGTATGGGCGATTTACGGAGCTCCGTTCCCAAAGCTGGCTCGTCAGGAGGAGCAGGTGGTTCAGGCAGTGGATTTGGTATAGGATCAGGATCAGGATCAGGATCCGGAGTGGGAGCAGGTGGAGGTGCAGGATTCGGAATGGGTAGTGGGATTGGCAGTGGCGGTGGTGGTGGCGGTGGTGGTGGGTTAGGCGGTCAGCCCATGAGGGGCAGCGGCGTTGGAGGCCCTTCACTGCGCGCCTCTGCCCCATCTGCCGCGTCTGCTGCCACTTCTGCTTCCTCTGCTGCCTCTGCCGATCCGTTTGCTGCTTCCTGGCCGGACCCTTTCGCCACCGCCACCAGTAGCAGTGGCAGCGGTGGTGGTAACACTGGCAACATGAACAGTAGCAGCAGCAGCGGCGGCGGCGGCATGGCAGGGGGAGGAGGAGCCAGAGCCGCATCCGCGTCTGCAGCAGACCCGTTTGCAAACTTCTCCGCCTCGTTCCCTGCCCCACGCGCCGCTGCCTCCTCTGCTGCTCCCCCTCCTGCTGCCTCTGCTGCTTCTGCCGCCGCGGCTGCTGATCCGTTCGCCGCCTTCTCATCCAACTTCGGGAGCTCGCAGCCCCCCAGCAGCTCGCAGCCCCCCAGCAGCTCCCAGCCATCTGCTGCAGCAGCGTCAGCAGGCTCATTCGACCCGCTTGTAGACATGCTTTTCAACCCCAAGCCCTCTGCTGCTGCTGGTGGCTCTGGTGGTGGTGCTGGTGCTGGTGCCGGTGCTGGTTCTGCTGGCGGTTTTGCAGCGGCCAGCAGTGACAGCAGCAGCAGTTTCTTTGGAGCGAGCGCAGGTGGTGTTGATTTTGGGAACCAAGACGCCGGTGATTGGGGAAGCTTCGGGGACGCTTCTGCTTCCGCCTCCACAGAAACCACTGTAGAGCTAGACGGCATCGGGCCGCCGCCAGCGGGAGTCACTTATAATGCAGCGCTCAATAAGGGGACGGAGTTCTACAAAGGGGGGCAGTTCGCGGACGCGATCAAGTGGCTGGTGTGGGCGGAGCAGCTGGCGGAGAGAGGGGGGGCGGCGGGGGGAGAGGGTCTGGTGGCGGTGTTGAGTGCGCGGGCGTCATGTTACAAGGAGGCTGGCGAGATGAAGAAAGCCGTTGCAGATTGTACCAAGGTGAGTATGGGAGGTGCATGGGTGGAAGGTGCATGGGTGGATGGTGCATGGGTGGAAGGTGCATGGGTGGATGGTGCATGGGTGGATGGTGCATGGGTGGGAGGTGCATGGGTGGAAGGTGCATGGGTGGAAGGTGCATGGGTGGATGGTGCATGGGTGGAAGGTGCATGGGTGGATGGTGCATGGGTGCGGATGCGATCAAGTGGCTGGTGTGGGCGGAGCAACCGGCGGAGAGAGGGGGGGGGCTGGTGGCGGTGCTGACTGCGCGGGGGTCGTGCTACAACAGGAGGGGGGAGGGGGGGGGGGGATGAAGAAGGCACCTTGCTGACTGCAGCAAGGTGAGAAGTGGGGTGGGAAGGGAGAGAGGGAGGGGGGAGAGCAGAGGACGATGGGCTGCAATTGGCCCCTCTGCTCACACACTGCCGGATGGGGTCCAAGTGTGTGAGCCTTAGTGATTCCATCTCCGCTCTTTCCCTGTCTCCCTTCCCCCTCCCTCCCCACATGATGATGCTGCAGGGTTTTTTTTTAGAATTCTAAAGAAAAAACCCTACGAGGCAATGAAGGAGTAGAAGCTGGGAGAGCCTGACCTGACCTGCGCCTGCTCTCCCTTCAATTCAGTGCCCCTTACCCACCCCCACAGGGGATCAGAGAGCAGAAAATACAGCCGTGTTTAAGTCGACTCAAAACACGGCTCATTTAGAGTTGACTCAAGACACGAGCTCGAGGCAGTAAATGCAGAGGGCGTGTCTGTACGAGGCGATGGAGGAGTACAAGTGGGGGTGGCTGGCTGACCTTCTCTCACTTCTCTCTGTCTGGCCTACCCTTACCCACTCAGGTACTGGAGATTGAACCAGAGAACACGGCAGTGTTGATGCAGAGGGCGTGTCTGTACGAGGCGATGGAGAAGTACAAGCTGGGCGTGGCAGACCTGCGCCTGCTCTCCCGCCTTGACCCCTCCAACCGCGCCATTGCCACGAGCCTTAACCGCCTCAACAAGGCACTTGCTGCTCTGGGGTGATGACAGCAGCAGCAGGGGCTGGAGGAGAGGGGCAATAGCAGCAGGTGCAGGGTTGGGTTTGGGAATGTTTAGGCTGAGAGCTTTGGGAGATAAGGGGTGTGTCAGGGGAAGGACGGGGAAGCGTGGGTTGAGGGGATTACTAGCCGCGGGTGGCAGACCTGCGCCTGCTCTCCCGCCTTGACCCTTCCAACCGTGCTGTTGCCACGAGCCTCAACCGCCTCAACAAGGCACTTGCTGCTCTGGGGTGATGACAGCAGCAGCAGCAGGAGGGGGAGGAGGAGGAGCAGCAGGAGAAGGTGCATCGTTGGTATTTGGGTTGGTTGGGCAGAGAGCGGTGGGGGAAACAGGTGGGTTATGGTAAGGATATGGGAGCTGCCTATGGTGAGCGCAGCAGCATCAGGGGTTGGGGTGTGGGCGCTCCCACGGATGTGGGAGCTGCCCTGGGGTGAGAGCAGCATCAGCAGGGGTTGTTGGAGGAGCAGTAGCAGCAGGGGTGGTGTGGGAAGGCCAGGGATAGGCATGGTTGGGCAGATGAGTAGGATATGACAGGGGTGGCAGAGCTAACAGCACCGCTTCTCACCCATCTGGACCCCTCGAACTGCACCGGCCGCTGCAGCGGGCTGTACCAGTTCAAATCAGGCCAGTGCTTGCAGTTACTACGAGGGGGTGTGGCAGGAGTTCTGTGGAACAGTAAGCGGCAGTGCCGCGCCGCCTATCCTTTCAGGCTGAAATGGCAAGTGCTTGTGGCTGGAGTCACGTGGGGTAGACTGGTGAAGGGTCGGTTTGGGTTGGGAATGGGGGTAGTTGTGTGACTGACTTTGGAGAGAAGATGGGGGTGGGGTTTAGCTGTAAAAAAAATCTGTTCTAGGATTATGTAATTGCAGGACAAGGCAAGAGAGCTTGGTTAACAGGAAGGGGGATCTAAATAGTTGCCTACTTTGTAATGGCAAACATTTTCATTTCAAGAGGCTAAAGTTAGTTGCCTACTCCACACTTGCAAAACAAATTGATAACCGTGGTTGCCTGCTCTTTTAGTAAGCATTCTCATTTGCACATTATGATACATCCAATTGTTGTAGCAAAGATATGGACAAATCTCCTTATCCAAGAAGACAGCATGCATTTCATAAGTCAGGGTTCAAAGGTTTGGGGAGCCATTATGTCTAGAGGCATCCCAAAGCCTTGAACCCTACTCAAACTTTATGCCCCCCATCAAACCAGATCCAGCTACGGTAATTACCCACTACATTATCCCTGGCAACTACGCCAGGGTTACGTTACCCAGCAACTTTCAAACAACTAATTCCGGCAGCGATTCTGGGAAATGGCGTCAGAAGCAGCAGCACCAGCAAGAGCCGACCTTGTTCCCCTGTCCACTCTGCTTCTCGTTACCACGCTTCTCCCTTCATACGCAACTCAAGCAACCAGCACATAGAAATTTCTTCTTGTTCTTGTTCCTAATCCCTTCTCATCGCCTTAAGCCTTGCCCTTCACGAGCTTATAGACGCGCGACGCGAGCCAGATGGATTCCGCGTTCTTCGCGACAGCGACGCCAGCAGCAGCTCCCGCAACCGCGCCGGCAACCGCGCCAGCCATGGCCCCCGCAGCAGCAGCGGCCTTTACGTCAGCTCCTTGCTTCTTCTTGTTCTCTCCTCCCTGCATCTCCTGCTCCTGCCCCTTGCTGTTCCTAATCGCCGCGGCTTCGCGCTGGAAAACTTTAAGGACGTCTTTAGTAGCCATCTGCAGAACGATGTGGATGCACCGCTTGAAAAGGTCGGGCGGCGCGACGGACGGCTGCACCACCTGATGCAGCACGAGCCGCGATGCCACGCGCGCGCCGTCGGCCGGAGTCGTCGCGCTCGTCGTCGTCGTCTTCGCAGCGAGATCTGCGGCGGAATCACGCTCTGGGCTGCTGCAGGCGCTGCTGCTATCCCAGTCGCTGGCCGGATGGAAGGTATCGGAGAGCGGGGAGGACGGAGCGGAAGCGGTGTCGGAATCGGTGGAAGCGGAGGAAGTTGCGAAAATGGTGGAAGTGGCGGAGGTGGCGGAAGCGGCGGAGGCGGAGGCGGCGGCGGAGGCAGAAGTGGCGGAAGCGGGGACAACGAGCGGCTCGACCTGCCAGAAGCCCTCGAACTTGCGCATGAGACCGGGGCGCGTTAGTTCGAAGGACATTTTGCGGTTCGGGCGTGTGCAAGGATTGGTGATCCCTAAATCCACCTGAAAGTAAAGACTTCTGTAGTACAACGCCTTGCTAGCCGCATCCTATCCAACTATAAGTCTACGGGGTCGAGACGTCTTCAACGCGAAGTAGTCGACTGAAGTAAGCATCAACTTTCTGCAAGGCGCGCGACCGGACACAAAACGAATCGCTACCTCATCTGTCATCCCGTTCCTATGTCAGCAACCTGAGTGAGAACCGGAAAATCTGTCAGCCATTACTAAACGTTGAGCTTTTGGATGGTAGGAAATCCAGTGTCCAGCGCAATCCTGTCGGGAAGGGTTGGACAGAGTCAGGTAAAAAATGCGATACTGCACGTTTTGAAACGGTACAGCGCGATTGATTCTAAACTGCTGTATGTTCCCACATCTGTGTGATGAGTTGAGTTCAGTACACTAGCACTGTAGTCGCGAGTCGTTGAAAGGCTTGCGAACTGACAAGTCACGACAATTCACGACACGAGGGTGTAGTTGATCTGCAACAAATCAACCCAACCCAACCCATGCACGCAGCTGCCGATTTACAGGTTGCTCGAAGTGGGTTGACAAGGCCGTACAGGTACATCCCTGCTTGTCATGGACGCAACATTTATAAACAAAGCAGCTTACACAAAAAAATGTAGATACATAATGTATTCAACAATAGCATAACCACATATATTAGAGCCACCCTGTTTGAGCCAATGAGTCTAGGGAGGGTTGTCTTCTTTAGGCCACCGAGGAATAGCAATCCATTTGCCCAATATGTTCCTACGATGGAGAAGAATGTCTTTCTCAAAATTCCGACGACCACCACACGATGCAAGGCCTGCCATGAAGACTGGAGCCTGTGCACAAATTAGCTTGTCCACAATGGCAACAATTCCTGCAGGACCACAATCAAACACATCAACCATAACACTTAGGTCCAATTTTATAACACAATCAACTTCAAACGACAACGCCACCAGAGTAAGGCGCGCTCCTAAAAAGACAAAACACAAACAATTCTTACCTGGATCTTGGTCATTTAACGATGGCATCAGCTCGTCAATCATAACAGTCCCTTTGACATGCTCCCGCAGCCAGGACAGCCAATAGTGAGGCACCTCAGTCAGCGAGCCATTCCCGTAGGCCCAAGCCATTCCCCCCCAAGACTCAGAACGGGGTGTTGCATCCGACTTGTTGTATGGAATGTCAGCGGCAATAAAAACAGTTCTGGCATTACGCCTCGCCTTCACACGATTTATCAACCATGCAGCTTCTCTCGTGCATCGCTCCATGCGCTTTCCCAGAATCTTCAGCTTATCTTCAGCTGACAGACCAGCCTTCTTCTCCTCTGCCTACAGCAACGAGCATGACTGGACTACCCAATGATTCTATGATTTCTGCAACAAACCAGAAAAGCCAGCAGGATAGTATGAATGTGCACGCAATGAATTCCAAGTTTAACTTACCAGGTTATACGCGATGAATTCGGAGCGGAAATGTATGGCAATGAAAGGCTTTGGGAGCCTGGCAACGATTCTGTCAGCCACAGCGTGCCACTGCTTCGCATAGGGCATGACTTCATGTGCAATGTCATCTGTTGCCCTGTCAAAGCGGTCAAACGTGTTCTTGGAGTAGATCACCACGTCCTTGTCAGCCCTGACAGCAATGGGAACGTTGGACATAGGAGATGACATTGAAAAGTGCTGTTTGCAAGGCCATCTATGTTGACTGCGATGTCATCTGTTGCCCTGTCAAAGCGGTCAAACGTGTTCTTGGAGTAGATCACCACGTCCTTGTCATCCCTGACAGACCGGGGACAGGGGGAGCATTGTGGACAACAAACAGGCTGGGAACGTGGCCACAACGAATGGGGTGGTAGCATGACCCATGCCCCATACCCCATGCCCCATGCTCCACGACCCATGGCATATGGCCCATGGCTTATGGCCCATGGCTCATGGCTCGCCACTGCACGAGAATGGCTCTAGAGTTGAGTGGCTATACGACTCACTGGGAGACTCACCACGCATGGACCAGCGAGCGGATCTGGTCGGGGCGAGCAGGCATGTGCAGCCTGACAGTGGTGGTCCGCGAGGGAAGCTGACCCATGCCCAGGGTCAGCAACGCCCCCAGGCTTCGAATAATCTCCTCTGGGAGGGGTACATAGGGGGATGTGGGATCAGTACATGGTGGTTGGTCACTGCAGAATTTTGTAAGATTAATCATAGTTTTAGTCTGCAGCACTGCAAAATCTGCACTGGGCCATGAGCCATGAGCCATGATACTAAGCAAGGCTGATGATAGCTTTATTCTGTCATAAGCTCACTTGTGCCGAAGCAGGGCCGGCCGAGCTCAGGCGTGTCGACGCAGAGATATCCCACAGAGGGGTGGATAAAGGCAGCTCGGGCGAGGAGAAGGAAGAACTCGGGGGAGACCCACTCCGTGTCGTTGAGGTGAGCCAAGTCGCAGTAGGCACACATGGGCATGGATCGACCCAGCGACAGATGGCTGTGGCCGCCCTGGGAAGCACAGGCAGCGCAATATGAAAACACATACAAAACAAACAAACAAAAAAGGGGGGGGGGGGGGGGGGGGTGGGGAGGGGGGGGTTTTGTGCGGGGAGGGGTGAGTGGAGGAAGGCCAAGGAACAAAGATTGGAATTCTAAATCTGGATGACCAGGTCTTTTGAGTGATGTCCTGGTGCAAAAGCATTGTGTGCAAGTGGTTGATGTGGTAGCTCAGCAAGCATTGAACTTGGTTCAGATCAAACAATCTTGGAATATTGAGAGGTTTTTTCTTCTACTTAAACCATGGAATGGGCTGAGAGGCGTGAGAACCCAGGAGTGTGCGAAAAAATGTTTTAAATCACAAATTCACCTTTGGGAGGACGAGGATGCGGTTGGTCTCTCTTGCGACCCGTGCCGCCTCAATGACATGGATCTTGGCGTTGGTGAGCTGCTCCTCCACCGCTGCAAACACCAGATACTTGCGACTCACAAAGTCCTGCATCGAAACAACAATAATAAGGAGGAATTTGACAAACAATAACACACACGTGTGCGCACGCACGCGCGCGCACACACACACACACACACGAGGAACAAGAGAGGTGTACAATATTCCGATGTCTTAGAGTCCTTTTCACACAGCAATAACGTAACAGAAATTGGAATCAGTTAGAACAGCTAACACATGACCCGGAATGTACCCAAGACCAGCAGGTGCAGCTCGTGTGCTTACCGTGAGTTTGGAGAACGGCATGCCAGGCACAGGCCAGCACGACTCAGGCCAGTGATTGCACGGACTGTCCTGATCACTTGGATTGCTGCCGCTGCTGCTGCTGTTGCTGCTGGTGGTGGTGTTGATACTACCCTCATCTCGTTCTGTGGAGTCCTGTAAGAGGTCTTTCGTATAGTTCCTCTCTATCTCTTGCACTTTCCCGCAAAGAGAATCAATTTGGGCAGAAATGGTTTTCAGGGAAGCGACTCAGGAGATTGTGCTTCCACTCCTTGCTGCACACGATTCCTAGATACTCATTTTGAATGTTATCCACGTCAGCAGGAGATACAGAACCGACATGGCTAACTGAAGCTGGGGAGAAACTTCGGTCTTGGTTCTGGATCTCTATAGCCGCTCGCTCTGAAGCTTGGATCGCAAGTTGCTGCATCGCCGAGCATAAACCGGCTTTGCACTTAGTTAAGCGCGACGGATTAAATTCAGTCCTCGTGGCACCAGGGAGGTTAGCGGCTGCTTGAAGAACATCCACGCAATTGATTGTGATGTTCAAGCGAACGCCTTTTAGGCTGTTGTCCTCAATCCGCGATACAGCGTCGATCTTCTCGGGTATAAGTCTCCACGTTCCATTGACGTCGCCTTGCGTTGCGAATGTGGCGCTCGTTGCATTCATAGCAGAAAAGCGTAGAACGCTGGATTGAAACGAGTAGCCCAGGAGTAAGACAGTGAGAAGGCTCAGAAAGAGAAGCAGCTTGGAAATACGCGACGTGGCCAGTTTGCGGGGATTGGCCAGCCATGGTCGTCGCCTCACGGATTTGCTTGGGGTTTCAATGGTCGAATAACACTCGCTTCGGTCACCGCTACGCGAGTCCTTGAAGCCGCTATCGTTTCCGCTGGTTGTGTTAGTACTAGCGGAAGCTATGCGACCAAGTGACCCTGTCATATCTTAGCGGAGTGAATGGCGTAGCTGAGGAGGTTGTGAATCGTGATAAGAGGCTGGTGGTCGGTGATAAGCACGCACCAGGACGAGCATTCACAACCTATCCTCCATAAAAGGTGCGGGGAATGAATCTTCTAGCTTTGAGAATGTTTTGTTCCAGCCATTCCGTAACTACATTTAAAAAAGACTGCATACAAGCCTAATTTGTTCCAATTGTGATGGGGTAACAAATTTAGGCACATACATCAACAGATTAGCATGATTTTATCAATATTTCGTAATCACGCTGCTCGTCCTGCACATAGCAAGATCACCAGGTAATCAGCAGCCATAAAATTATGCTGGGTGAGGTATGCGAGTGAGAAAGGTTGGCAATGCTGTACCTTTGCAGGTGAGTGATCTGCGGTTTGGAACCTGCAAAGAGGGGAGAAAGATGATGTATCAGTTGAATACATAAGACTGGGAGACCTGGAAAGCCAACGTTAGAAGTGCATCAGCAGCGAGGTGGTACGATGAAGAACCACCACAAACAAAGCAGGGGCATGGTAGGACACAGGGTGTTCAAGGACTGCACAACATTCTACCAATGGTCTAAATTCTACGAACAGAATCCTTGCAGTAGCCCCTTTGAAAGCAGCCTGATTTTGATGTTTCTCACCCTAGCTTCTCCATGTAGAATGCTCTGGCAGATGTATTTTCCTTCTGGACTGTAAGAAAGATGGCTTCGAGCTCACACTGATAAAACAAAATGGATACAAGACGGTGAAAAGAACACAGAAGGTGAGAGATGGAGAAGCTTAGAGAAGAACAAGACATATGATAAAATAACATTGAAACAGTTGTCAACGCCGCAACATTGATAGCTGAGAGCAGAAAAATGGAACCCGAAAGTCACATATCTGAAATTGGTTCAGCTGTCATACCTTCTTTGCCATGAGTTCAGCAATCCTCATTAGCTTGCTGCCAATTCCCATCCCTTGATATTCAGCCTCCACTTGTAACTCATACACGTACAGAGAGGCCATCTCATTCTCCTCAACAATGCGGAAGTGCATAAAGCCCACATGCTTGCATTCTGTGGTGCCGTCAATTCCCGTGCATCCCCCATTCATCGCTTGATACGGGAAATTAGCATTCTGCCGTTGGCTCTTGACACTGCGTGCTGCTCTTGGGTTGAATGGTTTTTGGTGCTGAACCTGTTGTTGAAAACATCTATCCTCCTGCATCTGAAGTCTGGAAGACTGGCAATCTTGAAGCTGTGAAGGGTTAGCAAGAGTCATGCTCCCTGAAGCCTCTGTGCTTCTGGCCTCAACCATGCCTTGAACCATGCTCTCTGCAGCTACAATTTGCACACCTGTGGTTGCTTTGTTGGTCTTCGGCTGCTTGAGAAAGAGATAAACTGCGTCAGGCTCCATTGCTTCTGTCAGCTTGCCAGAAAGCACTTGGGGCCAAATGGATGGTGCAAAATGCTCCTCCATGTTTCTCTGCCACGGTTATTGGAGGAGCCAAGATGTATAGCACATTCCGTAAAAACCTCCCTCGGCTTTGCAACTCTTTGTGCCTAAATGAGAAATCTACAGTAAGTCAAACAAGAACCGGGGAAGCTAGATGCGACGGTCGTACCTTGAGCAGATCTTTCACCCAAATTTCCTCATCATGAGTCAAAGCTCTGCTCTGCTTTTTCTCCAGCTGGAAAGCCATTCCTGCAGCGGAGAACGAGCAGCTGAAAACGTGCAGATGTCTCCTGACGATAGTGCGAATTATTATCTGTTGAGAGCTGATCTCCAGCGCATTTCCATTTTTCGTCAATCCGCACGCAGCTCACCGTTTCTGGTCATCATCTCTCGTGGTAGTTCCATAATTTCCACATTCTTGAGAGCGCTTTTGATTCGTTGACGCAAGCTCTTGCGAGCCATGTAGGATGTCCTATAACTGCAGCGCAAAGGCCTTCACGTTAGGTGCAGAAGCTAGCCCAGCCGTGTCTAGTAGGGGCAATACAACTTCTAAGGACCTACTGTCGTACGCTCTGACAACGATCTGACCGTCAAAACCAATCTGGGGCAAACCTCTTCCGCGAAGAGTCGGAACTGAACCTTTTCCTGGCGTCACGAAAACGTTACGAAACCCAGAGGGATACCCCATGCATTCGCGAACTGAATTTCACGCCACCTGAAAATTGGTTATTTTCCTGTCCGAATCTTCGCGAACTTGCTGCTGGGGCAGTGTTCGCCAATCTCAGGGGTTCCCTGTGGCGCGAAATCTGGGTCTTCCATATTCCAGCGTCCCCTCACTGAAATCTAGGTTCTTGAAAATCTAGACTACAAAGTAGCCTAGACTTCATTTCGACCACGAAGTTGCTGAAATTTCTTCCTTCGACTTTCACTTTTACGAAGCAAATCCATCTGCTCTTATCCATTCTTCCAGCCAACCGGACATTTCGTGCGTTTTATATATGGTCCTCGCAATGGCTGCAGAAGCACAAATCAAGAAAGCTGACATGTCTGAGGAGATGCAGAAAGACGCCATTGCAATAGCGTCTGAGGTTAGCCATGTCTGCAAATTAAGCTTCCGATCACCGCTCTGCACTATTGGCTAACATGCTGTGCATCATGTCCAGGCAATGGAATCAAAAACATCTCAACAAGACATTGCTCTCCACATAAAGACGGCGTTCGATGAGAAGCACACGCCTGTCTGGCACTGCATCGTTGGGAAGAACTTCGGTGAGGAATTATGAGAGTCTCTCGGATGTGTCTTCGGACCGCGGATGTGGAACACGGCCATAAGAACTCCATTGTTGTCACTGCAGGGTCGTACGTGACGCATGAGGAAAAGCATTTCATTTACTTCTTTCTCAAGGGCCATGCGATCCTGCTCTTCAAGGCTGGTTTCGCCAACACGTGACTTCGCATATGGCGAGTCATGTCAAGATGGCATGCCGCTGTAAACGGGAAAAGATTGCAAGAGATGCTATCTCTTTGGCAAAGGCTGCGCCATTTCAGACAGAGTCTGCAAGAAATGTCGAAGATTTTGCTTAGCACTCCTGTGTACATTATGAATCACTTTGTAACATGCAGAGGGTTAGAGAACAAGACGTGAAACCATCCATACCGCCTTCAGGAGAGAGACACAGGCCCTGGAGATGAACCTGAGACCCTATTGGCTGACAGAAGAGGGCAGTGTCACACTATGCCATGCCACCATAGTGACCTACGGAATCATTAACAATTTTTAGACCTTAACCAGAGTGTTTTGGCACCGAGACTTTCGTCATGAACCTTCAGAGACTAACTAGCTCGTCAGTTAGATTCAGGGACCTTCATGCCGCCACCCCGCTTCCTTGTTTCCAGCCTGCGACACATAACATGGAGCCAAAATGACATACATTACACAAGTTTTGATGGCTCTTATCCATCACACACTCTTATCTTGTGACACACCCATTCAGCACCTTTTCCACCCACTGCCCCTTTTCCACCCCACATGCTCCTGGAAAGCCCCCACTCTCTCTCCCATCTCTACCCAAGATTCTACAACCACCCATGTGTAAATCAAGGAAAAACAAACACACACAAAAAGGTACTCACGAGGGTGCGAGCTTCCCCAGGCTGAGGAGGTAGTCGCCCGTCTCCTCATCATACACGCTCCCATTGATCTCCACTCGGTACGACATGTTGGGCTTCGATGGTAGCCCCCTCTTCATGAGCCGGTCCAGGTCCTTCTTGTGCAGCTCCCTCCCGTTCACATACACCCGCGTCGCACCTCCCGCACAGTCCACCGGGATCGGCGTCCCAAACTCAATTCCCGGCTGCTCAGATAGAACGCACACAGGCAG